GTTCTTTGGAGTGTGGTGGATGTCAAAGTTAGCTTTGGGTTGGAAGTGAGGAATATATTCTTTTCCCTGACGCATGAAGGTCGTTCATATAAGCTCGAAGTTGCGCATGAGAGCATACGGGAAATCCATTTACATCGCTCACTCCCTCACCGTCCTAAGTTTCTTGTGATTCAGGTTGGATCTCCTACAGACAATTTCCCTTGTGTGCTTTCTTGTTTCTTGTTTGATACTGCTTGTATGGTGTTGCCAAAAAACCCCCAAAAAAAAACATTTTCATTCATAAATAATTTAGTTTAAACTCGATTAGCATTTACATATCAAGTGGAGAGTTAATTTAATTAGTATTTGTTAGAAAAGTTATTTTTCGGTAAATGCTGAGTATCTCAGAAATGATTGTTGTTTGGATTTCTATCTCCTGCTTTCTAACAACGTGGTCGCATGGCATCATCAGGTGGTAGCTGCTCCTAAGATTTACGAAATCCTATTGGGCAAAACAGGTTCCCTACAAGAAGATCCAAAGTCCTATTATTGTCGGGACCCCCAAGATGAACAGTGGGTCAGAACAACAGATTTCACTCCATCTCGCAGCATCGGACAATCCTGTGCATTGTGTTTGCAGCTACCGTTCGACTGTAATCTTCCCGACATCCAAGATTTCTTCGTTCCTTACACAGAAGTTGAAGGTCGCTATGATCTGAAAACGGGCTCTTCTTACTCCAGCAATTTGGATCTTGTCCCTGTTGTCGAACCCCGTGCTGGAGTTAAGCTTCCTTACGCGATCCTGTTCAAGATAAATCATTTGGTTCAGAATGGAACTCTTAGCGGACCAACGCTGAATCGAAAGTTCTACTCGCTGCTCCGTCCTTCTGCTTTCGTACCTACTGAATACATCGAACGGGCCTTGGAAATGATGTCTACTTTGAATCACTCCTGTTTTGATCCTACAGGGTGGCTAACAGAGCAGTATGCGAACTTTAGGAGCTCGGGCCGTCCCATAAACTCGCCCACCATTTCCTTGGATCCTAGCTTGGTATATGTTCACCGGGTGCAGGTGACCCCCTCCAAAGTGTACTTCTATGGACCTGAGATAAATGTGTCGAATCGTATTCTGCGTCTGTATCATTCAGAACTCGATAATTTTCTGAGGGTTTCCTTCGTCGATGAGGACGGCGAAAAGATGCACTCCACTGATATATTATCTCGATCGGCTTCTGCGGACGACGACAACCGTACTGCGCTTTATTGGAGAATACTGTCAACGCTGAGGAATGGCATCACCGTTGGTGATAAGAAGTTTGAGTTCCTCGCCTTCTCATCCAGTCAGCTCAGGGAAAGTTCCGCTTGGATGTTTGCCTCGAGTGGTGAATCTACTGCGGACAGCATCAGGCAACGGATGGGCAAGTTTAGCAAGATAAGAAACGTTGCTAAATATGCTGCCAGGCTCGGTCAATCCTTCGGTTCCTCCACTGAAACAATGTACGTCAATGGACATGAAATCGAGTGCATTCGTGATGTTGAACGCGAGGGCTACGTGTTCTCCGATGGCATTGGGAAAATATCTCCTAAATTTGCCAGAAAGGTGGCGGCCAAGTGTGGCTTGGAAAGTTGGGTCCCATCTGCCTTCCAAATCAGGTACGCCGGCTACAAAGGCGTGGTGGCCGTCGATCCAGCATCGACACCGAAGCTGTCTTTGCGTAGCAGCATGTCCAAGTTCGACTCCAGGAGAACAAAACTTGACGTCCTCGCCTACAGCAGGTACCAGCCTTGTTTCCTTAATCGTCAGTTGATTACTCTTCTGTCGACGCTGGGAGTGGAAGATGAAGTCTTCGAGAGGAAAATGGAGGAGGCCGTGAACGACCTGGACAGGATTTTAAGTGACCCGGAAAGGGCACGGGAAGCGGTTCAACTCATGTCCCCAGGGGAAAGAACCAGCATACTGAGAGAGCTGTTGTTATGTGGGTATAAGCTTGATGCTGAGCCATTCCTTTCGATGCTTCTGCAAGCATTCAGGGCTTCAAGGCTGTTGGAACTCAGGACGAAGGCCAGGATTTTTATTCCACAGGGAAGAGCAATGATGGGGTGCTTAGACGAGACTGCAAGTCTGGAATACGGGGAGGTGTTTGTTCAAGTTTCTCGTTCGGGAAGCTCCATGTCCCACGACGATGGCCTCCTCACGAACAGTGTCAAGGTGTTGGAGGGCAAAGTCGTGGTTGCCAGGAATCCCTGTCTTCATCCTGGAGATGTTCGTGTCCTGTCAGCTGTTGATGTTCCCGATCTGCACCATATGATCGATTGTGTTGTTTTTCCTCAGAAAGGGGAAAGGTAAGCCATGCTTAACATTCTTACTTGACATTGTTCCGATGATTCTTAAAGTTCAATTCAGGCTCTTGCATCCCTTTTAGCTGCTTAATCTTCTTCACGTTTACTGGATAAAAGACGATGACTGCTTGATAATATCAGTTCTAATGAGTCAGTATCATTCCTTGACGCTAAATGACATGATTATTGTTTTTCTAGACCCCATCCGGATGAGTGCTCTGGAGGTGACTTGGATGGAGATATCTATTTCGTGAGCTGGGACCCTGAACTCATTCCGCCGCGTGTTGTCCCACCCATGGAGTATACCCCTGCCGCAACCAAGGAATTGGATCACGATGTTACCATTGAGGTACTACAATCGATCAGAGTCTTTCGTTGTTCCTAAATGGATAATATGTGTCTATGTCATCGTGTAGGAGGTGATGGAGTACTTCGCAAATTATATCGTCAATGACAGCTTAGGGATCATCGCAAACGCCCACACAGTTTTTGCCGACAAGGCAAGCAATAAAGCCGAGAGCAAGGAGTGCATAGAGCTCGCAAAGCTCTTCTCCGTTGCGGTGGACTTCCCGAAGACGGGAGATGCTGCGAAAATCCCTCGTCACCTACTTGTCAAGGAGTTCCCTGACTTCATGGAAAAGCTCGACAAAGATACCTACGAGTCACAGGGAATACTTGGAAAGCTATACCATGCAACCAAAGCCTGTGGGTTTGCCACCGTAGAGGCCTTCACCAAGGAGGCGGCTATGAGATCTTACGACCCCGACATGGAGGTCGATGGCTTCGAGGAGTACGTCGATGAAGCTTTCGTCTTCAAAGGGGAATATGATTTTAAGCTGGGGAATCTCATGGACCATTACGGCATCAAGACGGAGGCCGAGATTATAGGTGGGCATATAATGAACATGTCGAAGATGTTCACCAAGAAGAAGGACGGCGAGGCAGTGGGGAGAGCACTGAGGTCACTGAGGAAGGAAGCAAGGTCATGGTTTGATAAGCAGAGCAGTGATCATGACCATGACGACGATGAGGAATATGCCAAGGCATCGGCTTGGTATCACGTGACGTATCACCCCAAATTCTGGGGACGCTACAATGTGAATTTGAGCAGGCCACATTTCCTGAGTTTTCCATGGTGTGTCTATAAGAAGCTGGCAGTGATCAAGCAGAGGAAGACGTGCCAGAGGAAGGCTGAAGCCGAGCTACTGTTACAGCAGTGAGTTGAGGATATCTCAACATAGGACTTTACATAAGGTGATATTTGTCCGAGTAGAAGTCTTCAGATGACTTGTGCTCTGATGTGATATATAGATAGATTGCGTTGTTGTTTATTACGATGGTAATCCCATAACACTATTCTGAAACAATTGATTTACCATATGGCTGCTTATGCTTGGCAGAACTTGAATGGATTGGGTGAACTTGAATGGCTACTGAATTCAGCTGATTAGCCGAGCCGAGTCTGTTTATGCCCTCTTCCTGTTTCTGAGTATTTTCCATGAGTTCTGTGGTAATTCACTAGAATCTATCATAGATGAGCATGAAGGGGGGAACGGTGAAGTTTCTGTTGAATTCAAGGCTTCAATGGAAGAACTCGAGACACTCGGAGTTCACTTACGCTGAAGCAAACAGACGGATGTCAATAGCTTTCCATCCAAATCAGATCATAAAAACGCTGTCAACGATATACACATTCGACGGTGAATAGTAGTCAACGGTAAGAAGGTTGAATGGACCTCCCGCTTCGGTGACATGCATCCTTCGCGCGGA